AACCCCAAACCCCAAACCCAAAGAACCCAAAGAACCCTGAACCCCTCCCCCCCCAAAAAACCTCCCAAAGATCCCCAGGATGCGTGCGAGCAGCGGGGCCGGTCGTCCCCAGGCCTTTCGAGGCAGGAGCTCGGACCTGTCCCCAAGAAAATTCGCACAGGTCCCTCAAAGAGGCTCCCTTAAGGCCTCCTTTCCCTGAAGGGCTCCTTTACGGGTTCCTTTCAAAGAGGGTTCCTACAAGGAGGCTTCAGGGCTTCGGGTTACTTCTTTGCCTCCCACCTAGCCAGGAGGAGCCCGGATTGCAGGGTTTCGACTAGCACACCCGCACGAAGGCCGGCAGTGCTTCACGAGTTCGATACGGGTGTAGGGGTTTAGGGTGTAGCCTTCTTTTTTGGATCGCCTTTGTCGTCTCAAGGGGTTTCGGGTTTAGGGAAAGGCCGAGAGGTCTCCTTAACGCCGAACATCATAGTCTGCATATCGCATAGTCTATGTTGCTTGGGCAAGCTGTACAGGACATAATTTGAACTAGATAGAACAAATCAAGACCATTCAAACTCAGCAAAGTGCCATCTAATCTAGGTTAGCTGCAAGAACCTGGGGATACTGTGGCTTCAAGGCTTTCTGACCGGCGCCTCTGCACCATCGAATGAGACATCCTCAGGTGACCAAGGGGGGGGGCTTCCTGCTGGCAATCTCGAATTGTGAGCGTCCTTCAGCCACTGCTCGAGATGCACTCTTTTCTCGGGCGAGTGGAGCGATGAAGCTGCTGACCCTTCTTAGACAGGCCCAGGTTCCGGCGGGGATTCTGCGACCAGCCGCGCCGCAACCGCTGGGCTTTCCGGAACAAACCTTGTGATCAGTCATGGCCTACATGTGCAAGCTGGCCTGTTGCAGCGCTGGTCTTCCAATTCAGAGTTCCTCACCGCTTTGCCCCCACATCGCCCAACCCGCCACGCAGAATGCGCGAAGCTTGCAAGGGCTGTCGGGTTGGTTCCCTAAACTTTCAACCCCAAACCCTGCAAGCTTGCTGCCCCGCTTCACAACTACTTGACTGCCACCACGCCACGCGAGCCGTAGGTCAGAGATGGCGCCAGCAGCCTCAGCAACCCCGAAAGCAGAAACAGCAGTACTAGTACTAGTACTAGTACAGTACTGGCACTCTCACTAAGGTGGATGGTATAAATCCTGCATGAGTTTATAAGACACAGGCCACTCCCTCGAACCCCTGAATTTTAATATTGTCGATGGCAGACTTGCGCGAATCGGATCGCGCGAATGATGTAAATCCTGCATGACCTCTCCCCTAACATCAACATTGAGATTCAGGGGTGCGGGGACATAACTCTTTGGACGGTTCATATTGGGCTGGCTGCACGATTTCGATCATCAACAGTAGTACCAGTACCAGTCCTAGTGGTAACTCCAGCCCAAACAGTAGTAGCAGCAGCAGTAGTAGTCTTAGTAGTCGTCGTCGTCACAGAACTAACACGACGACGACTACTGCTACTACTACACTACTCCTACTACTCCTACTACTGCTCCTCCTCCCGCTGCTACTACTACTACTCCTCCTGCTGCTGCTGCTGCGACTGCTCCTGCGGCTGCTGCTGCTGCTGCGACGGCTTTTTCCTTCTGCTACTCCTTCTACTACTACTGCTACTACTACCACTACCACCACCACCACGACTACTACTACTACTCCTCCTCCTCCTCCTCCTCCTCCTGCTGCTGCTGCTGCTGCCACCACCACCACCACCACCACTACTACTCTTGCTGCTGCTGCTACTACTACTACTTCTACTTCTACTACTACTCCTACTACTCCTACCACTTACTCCCTGTACTCCCAGTACTCCTACTGTGCTACTGCTACTACTGCTGACAAAGCTTCTGCTGCTGCTGCTACTGCAACCTGCTGCTAGTGCTGCTACTGCTGCTACTACTCCGTCCTAACACTAGTACCTTCAGTATTTTGTCATCCACCTGGCACGCCTCTGGCAGCTACTAGCCTGGTAATAGTGTAAATAGCAATGCTTGTCACTAGGAGTAAGGCCGCAGCTGCAAGTAAAACCCCATAAATAACAGTTGTCATCAAAATAGAGAGCAGAAGCAGCAACAACAGCAAAAAGCAACCGTACTTACACAAACAGCCATGAAACTGGCTCAACGGTGGCAAATGCAGTTGCATCAACCGTGGCGATGGTAATTGACAAGCCGATGCAGGTTGTCCTGAGTTCTGAAGAAGCGTTTTGCTTGCGGGGGCCTGGCATTTGCACAGGACCTTAGCCAGGCCTGGAACCTCGGCAGCTATACCCCACCTGACAATGGTATGGCGTAGTATAGTACGGTATGGAACGGTACGGTATAGTATCGTATCGCATCGCATGGTAAGGAAGGGTATGGTATAGTATAGTATAATATGGTATCGCATCGAAACGTATAGTATAGTATGGTATAGTATGGCATAGTATAGTATCGTATGGTATGGCATGGTAAAGTGTAGTTCGTATAGTTGCGCCTTATCTAGTATAGTGAGAGCATAGTAATGGCATAGTAGCAAGAACACAAGATGCCCAAGGCGGCCTGGTTCGACCCCACGAGGTCCACGAAGACTTGCCGCAACTCCGGCAGGATCACCCAGCCTCACAGCCAGGGGCACAGTTGCTGCCACGGCCGGGGCTCTTCCGGGCTTCCGGCTGTCTCATTCAAGGACGGGAGTGTGCCGGCTGAAGGAGTCAGCTTTAGCTTTAACCACTGATCACCTCAAACCTCCGTATGATACCCTTGCTTTTCCTTCTTGATTGCAAAGAAGCGCTTGGAAGTCTCTGAAATAGTTCCATGTTTGAGTGTGTCCAAGTGTAACCACGTCATGTCTTAACGAGACCTTGTCTTCTCCGGTTTTGCCACTACTGCACTACAACTCTGAAGCTCCGGCTAGCTCCCAGGTGGTGCTTAGGATGATGAAGCCGAAGCTGATGATGTCGACCATGAGGAAGGTGATGGTGACATTGATGCCTATGTGTGACGACGTCTTCTTCATGTGTTTCTATATGCTTCTATAAATTTCTATCCCTAGCTCGGCCGGAAGCGATGGAGGCGGCAGCGTCCGAAGGGCCTGTTCGAAAGACAAGCATGCTCAGGTCAGGTGCCTGGCGCCACAGCAGTTGCCCGTGTGAGCGGAGATGCGGATCCATCCTTAACGACCGGGATGCGCCAGCATGCGCCATGACTTCAGAGCAGATTACCACCACTCAAAGCTTGAGAAACTTCAGAAAGGCAATCCCAGTGTCCGTTGCCGTTGGGCCCTGGTGCATCAGGCGCCAGTATGAGAATTCTGGCGGTGGGTTGCCTGAGAAAGCTTGCGAAGAGCTGAGGCTCTTGGTAGAAATCCCATGCCCAGGAGCTCATAGGATTCCTCGTCGCGATGGTGATCGACAGCTCCTGGACAGAAGCGGATCATGCTTGGAAGCTCCCCACACCGGAAGACTTCTCTTCAGCTCTCCCGACTGGCGGCGTAGGCGATGCCGCTGAGCTCGAGTTCCATCTGCCTTGGTCACGAGCGGCCCCGCGCACGACCACAGCAGAGCGGCAGGTGCGGCATCGAAAGCGCGGCCCAGCTGCCAGCCCGAGGATAGGAAGGGCAGCGTCACCGTGCCTCGATCGCTTCTACTTGCAGCGACGGGAGGTTGTAGTGACACAGACGGAAAAAGTCGAGAGTTGAGCATCCCTGTCACGCTTTACAATATCGAGCTCAGCTTTAGCATTGATCTGCGGCTGGGCATCAAGGACCGAAGTTGCATGCGCACCTGCAAAGGGCAAGCGGCGATGGAAGGGACGGCCAGAAGGAGTGTAGGGCACGCTGTTGCCGACAAGCTGTACTCTTAACATGACCATCACTCTAAGCCTGCATTGCCTAAGCACCAACCCTTCACCGTGCAGTGCACCACGCCCAACCTCGAACCCCACACCAACAGAAACTTCAACCTCAAACCCATCCATTGGCCAAACACTTCTGCATCTTGCCTGCCACTGTCCTGCTGAAACCCTCAAGCACCAAACCCCGAAACCCATTAAAAAGACCCAACGGCCAGACCCCTACATCCTACGTCCCTCACCCGGGCCTCGGCGAAGGCTCCGGCGCTGAGGACACGAAGCGAAGCCAGTCCACCGGGCAACCAGGCAGCAGGAAGCCATCGGGCGCCTGGGGCTTCGGAGCTGCCAAGGCCACAAAAACTGATGAGTCCTCGAGGAAAAACCCTATGCAAGGAATTAGCCTTTGATCGTTTTTTGCTCGCAGGTGCAGCTTAACTCGCAGGACGTCTCGCACGCCGGGAGCAGCAGCGCAGCTGCCACAGCCCTGCAAGCACAGGCCACCGGGATCGAGGCCGAAGGTTCTCCGCGACTGACAGTTTTGCGTCCTCACTTTGGAGGTAGCGTGTCGGCCATGCTTCGCCGGCAGCAGCAACTGCGCGGCCGCGGCCAAGATCCAGGCCCTGGAGTCGCGCCACACCGAGGAATCCCTCTGGCAGCTCCTTGTCTTCTACGCCTTGCACAAGCAGGCCAAGCTGCATCGTCGACTGCGGCAGCCGACTTCGGAGCCTTCGCAGCAGGTTCCGTGCCACGGCATTGAAACCCCGTATGTCTATGGCGAGCTCTACAAAGCCGCAGGAGAGGTCGCCATAGCGAGCACTCTCCTTTTCGATGAGGACGGGCTTGCCATTGAACTTCCGAACTATGGGCCTCAGCACAGAGGGTATGCCCAGATCCTCCAAGTTTTCGAGGATGCCCACCACTTTCAGGCAACTGCTCTGTGAAAATCCTTCGGGCCGAGGATGGCCCTCCTCCTGCAGAAACCTGGCCAGGAGTCGGGCAGCAGGGCAGTCTTCTGCCGACTCCTTCAGCTTGAACATCAGCACGACGCTGCAGCCATGATCTTGGGGTGGGTGCGGCCCCCTGAGAGGCCCGGCTTCGAAGGGAAGCTGAAAATTCACCACGATGATCTGCGGGAGGCTTAGCCGGCTCTCGACCCGAGAAGGCAGGGGCAGGCCTTCTGTGCAGCTGTGCAGCTGGCAAGGTGCCTCCAAGACCTCTACACCAAAACATCTGTAGAGCGCCGGGCCTGGCGTGGCCTTGGCCCCACAGCGGAGGTAGTCGGGCCCACATCGCAGCCGGAAGAGCGAGGGGTCCCCGTCGCCGGCAGCTACCAGGCCCGGCCCAGAGCCCTCAGCGCTCAGCCGGGCCGACAGCACGCTCGCCACGGAGGGGGTTCCCGACTTCCTGGGACGACGGGCCTGCCGGAAACCGAAGAGCCCCTGCCAGCAGTCGGAGCAACTCATGGCAAAAAGCTTCCAAGGGCTTCCTGATAGCTTCGAAGGGCTTCGAAGGGCTTAGGGCTGAGGCTTCACAGAATGTCTCCGGCTTGCCCGTGACAGGGGCTTAGGGTCGAGGCTCCCATCATCTCCGAGGCCTGAGGTCTTGTGTGTCGGCACGATGGCCCAGAAAAGGAGTTGAGGCTGGGTGCAGAAAGACAGGCCTGAGGGCTTGAGCAAGCGCAAGGGTTTCGACGTGAGGGGTTCGACTCTCACTCTCTCACAAGGCGGGTTTAGGGTTGAGCTTGTTCTTGGGTTGGGCCTGGTTGGCGCATCAATGATTGTCGGTCAAGGTTCAGGGTTTGGCAAGCCCCAAGTTGCACGTGTTTGAAGGTTACGTGTTGCTGCTCACGTTGGCGTTTCTTCCCACAACTGCTTCCCCCCTTCAGCCGTAAATTACCGACTATGGACCCGAATCGGCAGGACCACGAGGTTTCCAGGCAGTTCAAATCACAGGATCTCAATGCACCTGTCCTGCTTGAACCTCAGAGTTTGCAAGTGCTTTGCTAAACCGGTGCCTGCACCACCAGCGAATCTCCGAAGCGCACCGGAGCTGGCAAACTGGCGGCGACCCGTGCCGTCACTTCACGATCGCTGTAAGGCTGCTGGTCAATGTTGACCTTGTCGAATGAGCGAAGATGCACAAACTACCGCATCTGCTGACAAAATTGTGGGGAAGCACCGGCTTCTTTCAGAACTGGGCCTAAAGGCTGTTGAATCTGTTCTACTTTGTGAGCCCACAACATAAAGATGGTGTTCTGCAGATGTTCCATCACGCCCTTTTGCACACTTGGTGCAGTCATAGCGGCAATTGCCAGGGCAGCTGCAGGATGCATCTGGTACTCCTTCGCAACTAGGGCATGCGGCACTTTTCGACCAGCCTTTTTGCTCGCTAGCAAGGGTCCTCCACGAAACCTTCGTCCACAAGGTCACCGTCGGGGTCAAAGGATTGCAGCATCCTACAGATTCCACCCGCTAGTGCAATTCGCTCGAACCTCTGGAAATACCTTTCGCTGTGCACTTCCAAGACACAAAACCTTCAGCACTCTCACCATAATCTTAAACTGTGCCACAGCTGTGCCGAGTTGTCTCCACGTGCCGACAAGCCACCAGTCTCGCATGCTTGCAGGTATTCCAGCCGGGTTCAAGACATAAATGGACAGACCTGGTGCATTGAAATGGTTCTAGTAGTCGATTCACTGCAGCAAGCTCTGGTCCAATCGAGTTTGCGCACGAGGTGCAGTACGTGAGCCCGGCCGCAAGGCTCGGTTCGACGATGGTAATGTTTGCCACATTGCTGGTCGCAGTGACCTCATAGCTGCGAGGCTCCGAAAGCAGGCCGCACATCGCCCATCCTCTCCCTTTGTTAGCAGGGCAAGCTGGTCAAATCAAGGGACCTTCACTGCCACAGGCACGGTGCCAAGAAGCCGTGTGACGTTCCCGAGCCTGTAATCCTGTGCTGCGCTGTTCAACTTCAGATGCATGTTTCCAATTTTCTGAACCTCGCACAGTACTGAAATTACAGATGTCAGAGACCGAATCCGTCGGTGTGTCTGGTGTGGAGCATGGATGTGGCCGACCTCCCCAGTTGAACAGGATCCCTTTTGCAACTGGCTTGCAATGTCACGCCAGGACTGCTCACTCGTTCCGGGAAACCCTAAACCATTTTTGCTGATCAGACAGCTCACTTCCACTTTTGACGCTTAAAGCCTGGAGCTGGACGATCCGCTGTCACGCTGTGTGCGAGAACACCAGAAGAGCGGGTGCCTTCGCAAACCTTTGCAATACTATGCCACTTTGTCACTACGTTACATTGTAATAACATCTTCGACTATAGCTATAATCCATAACCGAGACTCTGGGGGCGTGGTGAGCAGCAAAGTGGAGGAGTTGCTCAGCGGTGTCTGCAAGACCTTTTCAGCTTCAGATGCTCACGAGCGAACAACAAAGGTTTAGGGTTTCAGGGGTCTTGAACAGGCATCATGAAGCTTTGCCGCCTGTTTACCAACCTGCAATCGAACAGATCTTTTGATCGTTCTGGTCAAGCTCGTAAAGCGATTTCCTTCACCATCGCCATCCTCTGTGTCATGTTAGCACATCAACATCGTCACCACGCTCACTCCTTCAGCAGCATCACCAGCAAGTAGCATTCCATATCATCAACTGCACCACGGCCGCCACCATCCTCTGATTCTCGTCCTACTGACTGAGGGTTGGGCGAAGCAGACTTTCACAGGAGCATCCTGGCCGAGTCCAGCAGCTGTGTTGCTGGGCTCGAGCGGGAGCGGGAAGCGAATCTCTGCCAAAGGGTACCTTAGGACGTTTATGCCCAGGCAGCTTCGTCGTAACAAGGAAGATCAGAAGACCAACAAAGTGAGGAAGACAAAATGCAGGAAGGTAACTCATTACTGCTACTACTTCAGGGGACGAGGAGCAGCAGCAGCGGAAGAAGCAGCAGTAGCATCTGCAGTAGTACAAGGTCGGAATCGTGAATGCATAGCAGCACTAGCCCCACTAGTTAAAGTCGTTCTCATCATCGTCATAATGCTTGCCGATGCTGGTGACCATCCTGTCTGCTCTTGTTGCACTGAATTTCCCGGAGCGCTACCCCTTTTTGCAGCCGGCTTCTCTCGCCCGGAGCGCTGCCCTAACACCCGTTCAGTCGGCCAGGCGTCCCTTGAAGCGCACTCGAAGCAAAGACATCCAGTTCCAAGCTCCACCAATTCATGGCCGGCTGGGTCGCTGCATTCCTCGGCAATGCCCCGAAACCTCCAACTCCAAACCCAAACCTTAACCCTAAACCCCAAACCCTGATCTCAAACCTTACATCCTAAACTCCAGTCCTTAATACCTACTAAGATCGCAAGTTGATTTTGAAGCTGCTTGGACCTGGCCACCTCTGGACCCCTGAAAGTTGCAAAATCTCACGGCATTGAATCTGGTATGTTGTGTGTATGTTTATATATAGGTACCTGATCTATCTCTATATATATATATATATATATGGTACCCCCCCCCCCCATGTACCCACGCCTTTCTTCTAAATCTCAGCTTTGGGAAGGTGTGGGAACTTGGGATGCCCTTGTACCCACACCTTCCTCACGTCAGAATGGCGTGGGTTCTTGGTTCTTGGGCTCGGGGAGAGTGCCTGTAAATCCTAACTTTCTTCCATGT